GAAAGAAAATATCTATACATAATGATCGAATATGCATGCTGTGATGTCTCCTTCGACATACGCACACATACATACATACATACATATGTGGGTGTGTTTATGACTTAATCAAAATGCAAGTGGAATTGACTTGCATTAAATTAAGAAATTACGGAAGAAATTGTCTAGGGAAAACCCCATCCTCCTTTTATTTTTTTTTTGCAACCAGAGAAACAAATTAATTAGATAATTTAATTGTAAAATGAATATAAAAGAATGATTTATAAATAAATGTGAATTAGAACGAAAAAAAAAAAAATAGAAGTACTTCTATGAGAAAGGGAAGAGAAGAGAAGAGGGGGGTTCGAAACTTTTCAAATTTATTTAAACTCATTTGTGCGAATAGAAAGATAAATTTAAATTAAAAAAAAAAAAGAAAAAGATAAAAAAAAGTTTCTAACAAATTATTTAAATTTAGGTGGGTACTAATATTTTTTTATTTTTTTTTTTTTACTAATAATTATTAATAATTAATTAATTATTATTTAAATAATAATTAATTTGTTTTTTACTAATATTTAATATTTGTAATTTAGATATGAATCCCTATAAAGTTTAAATGTAAATATAAATATCTAAAATTAGATATATTTATATTTAATATTTAAAATTAATTTAATTTAAATAAATTAATTAAAATATCTAAAATTAGATATATTTGTATTTAATATTTAAAATTAATTTAATTTAAATAAATTAATTAAAATATCTAAAATTAGGGTATTTATATTTACTATTTAATACTTTTATATTTTATATTAATTATTTAATTTATTAATTTAATTTAATATAATGAAAATATCTAAAATTAGATATATTTATATTTAATATTTAAAATTAATTTAATTTAATTAAATACAAATATCTAAAATTAAAAATATTTATATTTAATATTTTAATTATAAATGTTATTTCTAATAAATTTATTTTATTATCTCATGATCAATATGTAAAAAGTTTTGTTATGTCTTTTAACGTCAAACTCATTTCTATTTAAAACAAATGAAGAGATTTATTTTATTATTTTTTTTTTTTTTAATTATTAAAGCTCAAAATACTTCAATTTTTTCGCGTATAAGTATTTATGTTACTTCTTATTTTTTTATTTTCTACTTTGCCATAGCAAAGTTACTCCACAAAAGCATTTGCAAGTAAGCTTCTATTTTAAGATAACGTTGGATTATAATTAATTAGAAAAATATTAGATAAAAAGAGAGATCGTGATTTATGGCAAATATTATTTCAGCACATTAAAATCGGCTTCACCATTCACGAACTTAACAGATGAATCATCATTGTCATACTAGTGCGTCAAACTGAACGTTACCTGCATGAATGAACAGAAAAAACCCATGGAATTTATATCAACATATGTAAGAATAGATTCGATTTAGTTTGTGATAGGATATTTCACGTGAGTTACATGCAAAACGGTAAGTACAAAACGTGATTGACATCTTTTTTTTCATAATTTTTCTCTTTCTTCTCCTTCTTTTTTTCTTTTTTTTTGATTCGTCGATAGGTTCGTCTTTATTTTGGGAATTTTTGATTATTGCATTATTCAACGTATCAAAGTTAGAAGAATATTTTACAAGTGTAATATGATCAATGATATAAATAATTCGTAGTAGTGATATATCTCAATATATATATATATATAAATTACGTGTCACGTTGTTTGTCCGCAATGGACTCCTAAACTATTGAACCGATTTGAATAAAATTTTACACACTGTGTGCAGTTTCATCCAACTTAAAAGATAGGAAATCTTAATATATATAAATTACGTGTCACGTTGTTTGTCCGCAATGGACTCCTAAACTATTGAACCGATTTGAATCAAATTTTACACACTGTGTACAGTTTCATTCAACTTGAAAGATAGGATAGTTTATATCTCAATTTATAATCGCAATTATTTGTTTATTAACAAAGAGTCATGATTATCTCTGTTAGTTCGATAAGATTCTAACAAATGGCGGTATAAGGTAATTCATTGTAGGGATCCTCTAGGAGGGACACGCCATACATATTGCTGGTGTTGCTATATATATAACTATATGCTATATTATATATAACTTTTAGACTATTTCAAATGTTTGATTGATTCGCGCGCAATCACGTGACTACATAAGTTCCTGTCCCTCAAAATTCTTTGGCGCGTCCCTCCTACAGGGTCCCTTAATTAGTTGACTTAAAGACGTGTGTATCGGACTGATTGTGAGCCACAGCAACGCGTGACGAGGCACCCCTAGTACATATATATATATATATATATATATACAGTTTATATCTAATTTTAGATATTTATATATTTAAGATAATAATGAAAAATAAAATTATTATACATTATTTTAAAAATAATACACAAAGTATAATAAATAATAACGATGTATTATACTTTGCAATGCATTTTAATAATCCATTTTCAACACACACAAAACGAGTTAACGTGACGCACTTTAAACGAGCAATAATTATCCTGTATTGTTACATGTAATGCTTATGAGAATCTTACGTGTTATTACATCAAGGGAATCGTTTAACCTAAACGATAATAAAAGAATATAAGTATAATTACGGTATATTTCGAAACAGAAAAATATCTTGCATACTTTCTAATATTTTTCTCTTCTTTTTTGTTTTTTTTTTCTTTTCTTTTTTTTTTCTTGTTTATCTTTTACAAATAAAATATGACAATATTCGAGGATTTTTTTATTATTCGATTTAAACTAAAGAATGGATCAAGTTTTAAAGAATATAATACAAAATTATAATCACTCGAAATGACGAAAGATTAATGACGGATAATAATGATTTTTTAATAATCTTTAAATCAATTTTTAAGAAAGCAACGTAACGATCATTTTTATTTAAAAAAGAAATTAAACATAAAATGTTGCATATACAACATTCTAAATATAGAATATTCTTCCATCAGTAGAATCCCAATCTACTAATTGGGAAATACCTGAAAGAAGATTAGCAACATTTATGGATTATGTTCTCTTTTTTATTAGCTATTTTAATAGCCTTAGCAATAATATAAATTCAAATTAATTATTTAGGAAAACAAATTTGCCAAAATCAAATCAGACGATATTATATAAATATCTGAACAGGATGTTGGTATAATTTTATTATCTCAACAAAATTTTCAATTACAATAATCCAAGAGAGAAAAAAATTAAAAAAAAAGAAATATACAACGTATAATCGAACAAGCCACGAGAAAGTCAAGAAATATATATATACACACACACACACACACACACACACGTCAAAGATATTTCATAAATGAGTTAGCCTACTTATGAGAAGAAAGGTTCTCGACAAATTTCGTAGGAGAATCCCCATCCTTAGAATCAATTCTTTCTCCTTTACCAATTGAATATTATTGACCATTACGTTAAGAATCCAAAGAATATTTCTAGATAGTAAAAAGGGAATGAACATTTGCTCAAAGCTTACGTAATACGAACAAGCTAGTCGACCGATCTATGGCTAAGCAAGGCGTGTCATTTAAAGTCATCCGAAGAATTTCAAAATCCTAACTCTTTCGACTTTTGTACGAGAAAGTTTACCAGCATATTTAACATTCGAACCTGAAAGTAAAGTCTCATAGACGCATAACATCATCGATACTAGAAATCAGTTAAATTATAAAATATACCTGCTTTTATGAGCCTATATATATATATATATATTATTGACTTTCTCTTTCTTTTAATCCAAAATTTATTATATTATCTTTCTTATTTCATTATCTTTTTTTTTTATTATTATTATTATTAGTAGTAGTCAAATTTTTAATTGATCGAATACACGAATATTTAGTATTTCGAAAGTATTATTTAATGATTTATCGATTTTGTAAAAATGGTTAAAAATAAATTACCAAATTAATGATGTATTCGCAATGCTGATGCGTAGTGTCGTTTCGCGCCATACGATTATTTGAATTCGAAAGTTAAAAGAAGTCTAATGCGCATGCGTCACCTTAAACTCATCGCTCTTTTAGTCAAGCACGTGCTTCATATTCGTGAAATTCAATTGAATGGAAAATATTCATAAAAATAGATTTATTTTTTATGTTAAATTATTTTAAATTAATTTACGTATTCGTCCTTTTATTATTTAAATAAGAATAGACAAAGTATTATTGAAAATAATTATTTTACTAGACGAACGTTAGAATCACGTGGTTGCGAGCATCGTGTCGTCTGCTTGCACAGCTGTTCCAACGCCAAGAGAAAAGGCGCTAAATTCGTTATTTTTAAATAAAAAAAAAATACGTACGTGATCGAACGTAAATAAAATGTTGTTATAATTTAAAAACTTTGTCGGATTGTATAATACGATGAAACAATATACGATGTTATTATTATTAAGGAATATTTTAATTGAAATAAATTAATTGATAAATAAATGTTCATTTAAAATCTAATTCTCAAGTAACATTAAATAAAGCGCTGTTGGCGTATTATATAAGTTTAATAAAAGAACACGAGAAGAAAGTTGATAAATATCTATGATCTTAAAAATAAAATTGTTTTACGTAATCTTAAAAAGTTCCAATGATTTTTCAATAACTTTCTTTCAACAAAATTTGCCACTTTCACAAATAATTTTTTTTAAATCTAACGATCAAATGTCAACTAATTTTGATGATATAAAAACGTGTGTACTCAATGATACACTCCATTGTTTAATAAAATACTTGACCGGTTTAGGTTATGTTTAAACGAGACGAAAGATTTTCTTAAAACTGAATGAATCCGTTAACACCGATGTTATCAATGATCAATTAAAATCGATTACTACAATTTCAAAATATTCAAAACATATTAAATCATCACATTATCAAAATTATTGCAGATTAAAATGATACATGCTCGATACGTATATATATATATCAACGTATATTATTAAAATAAAATAATGAATAAGAAAAACTTACTTGGCATTGTTGTACTTTAGGACTTAAAATGTGCTCGATTTCCGTTTGTGATTTAATAAAAGTTGTAGAAAGTTTCTTCCTTATCTGAGATAGATTTCCGAACTGACACAGTTTTTCCGCACGAGCACAGAGCCGACTCGACCCTAAACACGCCATAGCGAAAACAGTAATGAGTCGAGCCGGCCAACTTCGGAAGACTTTCGAGTTCGACTAGTCCCCACCGATATTTTCCAACGACACTTACCCCTCTCTTTCCTTCATCCCCTCCCTAACTCCCACCACTTCTTCATATACCTTTCCTTTTCCCCTACTTCAATATCTTTTTCAATTCACGTTTCATATGTGTTAATACTTTCGTTTTTTCTTTTTCTCCTCCTCGTCCTCCTCCTCCTCCTCCTCCGCCACCTTCACCACCTCCTCCTTCAACACCTTCTTTATATGAAAAAGAAGTTTATGTATGAAACGTTGCTTCTAGTTCAGTGATGTTCCGCGACTAACTAATTTTATCAATGTGGTTCGATCGCAAACTGTAAGAAACCCATAGACGTATTAACCACGTGTTCTCATTTTTCCGTAAGAACCAATTGAGAGTAACGTTTAATAATTTAATGGTTTATTTATTCTAAAGGGAGATCAATATCGAATATAAAACTGTGATATTCGATTATGGTTTATCTCTACTGGATTATTTCTATTCGTTAATTATTACAATTATTACTTTGTCTTGTTGCATGTATATATACGTATACTTGTTTTTTTCTTCCCCTGTATGTTTATATGTTTTTATTACTTTTTCCTTTTATGGATTGAAAGGAAACTTTTTTACAATATCTCCTGACACAATCCATCCCTTCCATAGACACCCTGATCTCTCCCCTCTATCTAAGTATTAATCATTCCTATCGTTGCTTAACTTTAGTTTTTTTTTTTTTTTTCTTAATAAGACTAAGCTGTTGGAAAGTACTTTAAATTTTATTAGAATCATATGATAAAAATAATAGTCTTGTAGAAGCTTGGCTTGTTATTATCCTAATATCGTATCTACTTCATCTTTTATGAATTTGATTTACAATAATAATATTTGATTAAAATTCATCACCCTTGGAAAGATCATTGCTATTAAATCTAGTTACTAAGATCTGTGGCATCAAATTAGCTTCTTCAAAGTTAGAATATTCTTTTATCGAACAATCTGTATTAATTTTGTTCTCTGTTATGTTGAAATTATATTCTTGTGGCATATCCCCATGATTTTTGTTAACCGTATACCATTGCGACATCATTTCTCTAAGTGGTTGCAAGTTACTAGCATTTTGTTGAATCTTTTTTAACTCTTCATTACACAATTGTTCAATTTCTGCCAATCTTCGTTCATAAGCTTTGGCAACCACTTGACGATGCATGTTATAACGTTTCTCTGCATGAGCTAATGCTAAAGCATCCTGATATTTTGCAAGTTTCTTCTCATATTCTAATATTGTTAGTTCTGTTAAAGCTTGATCCGATGTTATATCTATGATACAGTCTACAAAAATCATAGACCTTGTGTATACCATAATAATATTCATTATAGAATAATATTACCTATGTCATTAGAAAGAGGTGATTCTGCTGCGTATGCAAATGCAGCTGCACGTGCAGCCGCATTAGCTTCTTCTAATGCTAATATATCACTTTGCTCTCGTAACCTTTGAAACTCTTCCCTTTCTTTTCTCCAGAGAGTAGCTTCTTTTTTTAATTCCTCTCTCAAGTACATCATCAGTTCGTTTAATGAATTAATACGCTCTTGAAGAACATGACTGAGAATAGAAATCACTAATAAGATATCAACAATTATCATAATCATTTAAAAAGAAAATTATTTGATAAGTGTACTCTATATATTTGGATTCCTCATTCTCAAATTCTTCATAATTTGTATTCGTTGTTGATAAATTTTCTGGTTCTAATATAACTGATAATTTTTCAAATGTATTATCATATAAAATATCACCGTTCTCATTAGTCTCTACATTTGGAAGATCCAATGTTAAATTAAGATCATCTTGAACTTTTTCATCTTGTTCATTTTCATAATCCTCTGATGAACTTTCATTTCTATTCTCAGAATCATTGATAGAAGTTTTGCTACTACAGGATCTGTCCGTTTGTATTTCTGATGAGGAAGTATGTTTGTTTTCCATCAGGAATATTCGTAATTTTTGTCTTTTATACACCTAGATAACAATTTTTTTTTTCTCGTCTATTGCGTGAATAGTTAAAATTCGATCTCGATCGTTAAATATATATCGATCGATGTTTTCTTGTTTTTCCTATAAAATATATAGAACAATATATTCACATGTAATTAATTCGAAAAAATTATTGTGATTTAAAACAATATATTATTTCTTGTTAAAGTATAAAAAAAAATTCGTCTTTTAAAAAATTCGTTTAATTGTTACATTATTATTTTTTTTTCTTTTTTATGATCATTAATTTAAATAACATTGATATCCTAATAATTGATATGTTCTAATATAAAATATTATTATTATTGCTACTTATGCATAGATTTGTACATGTATATATATATATATATAATATATTAAAAAAAAAATATTAAAACTAATCTGCACCAGGCTTTAGGAAACATAAGTTCATATAAAAATATATATATATATATGTATATAGTTTGAAAATGCTCACTTAATAAATATAAATTAAAATAAATTTATATTCATTTAGATATTTATAAAAGTTTAGGCATTTGCTTCAATGTCGATATATCTAATATTTTACTAGGACAACTAGTTCGCTGTACTTGCGCATATGGATATTGTTGTGTTGCTGGATTATGTTTAATGTTTGGTGTTTTCAGATCCGCTTTTAGGGATCCTTCAAGGCACATCAGATTATCATCTACAAATTTATATTAACAGTTATATTCTTGGTCATGATCTTTCAATAATTGTTACAATGATATTTGTGAAAAACAATATATTATAAATCATTTACCTTCAACTTGTAAATTATTTTTTCCTGGAAGCAATTGATATCTTTCCAAATAACGCATTGTAGCAAATGATAAATTAGTTCCTTGCATATTACTTAACATAACTTGTTTCAAAGATGTAGATCCCTGTTTTTGTGTTGTTAATTCGGCAATTTGTTCATTACTTAAATATTTTAAAGCTAATGCTTCCATGTGCATACTTGTATTTCTTTCAGTTATACCACTAGTAGCACGAGTTATATTCGGTTGAAAGTCCAATCGTGGATAATATGATGAATCAAATTCTACTCTAAAAAAAGAATATTATATAATAACATGTAACGTATAAAATAATTATATAATAGAATACATTGAAAATGGATATATTATTTGTTAAAAGTAAATCTATAAAATGTCGTAGAAGAATGCATACTTTCTTGTACCAATTTTGTCCATAGATTCAGGTTTGTCTACTAAGCTGATACCAAGTTTTCGTAATTGTTCAAAAGTGGCAACCTTAACGTTATCTAATATTGCTTGATTTTCAATTTCATCTTGTTCTACGTTGTGCCTCGTTTTTACATCCTTTGAATCGGAAGAATCTACGGTGGACGAATTTTGCAAAATTTGATTTACTTGACTTAAAACTTTATTATAAAAAGTCCATCCAACTTTAGATGTTCGTTTAATTTGTTCACTTTCCTCGTCGCTAGAATATTCTTGCATGTCGACATGAATACTTGGTTCAGGTGTTATCGGTGGTATTTCGTTTATTTTAAAATCGCTGCTATTTAAGACCAAACTATCTTCTACACGTCTATGCGTTTTAGGATGACCATCAGATTGCTCACATAGATTGTCTTTATTTGTTTCTTTATATTTTTGTGAATTATTAAGTACATCGTTTGTCGTACGTTGTTCATAATTATAATCAAATGATGTTGCATCTTTGTTAATAAGTTTTTGCCTTCTTTCTTCCTTTTTTGTTCTTTGTTTTTCATCATCTCTCGATGAAGAATATTGTTGTTGATTATGTGTAAGCAATTTATTTGAATTTTGACATACATCTTTATTCGATTGAGAAAATCTATCTAATTTTTCTACAGGAACACTTCGTGCATTTTGATTATTATCTACATGGGTACGTTTATCTTGTATATCTTTCATAGAACAATTTATATTATAATTACTACTATGTGGTTGACTAGAAGATAAATAACTTTCTGAATCTTCAACTATATTTTCTAATTGTCCAACGGGAAGTCTTGTGAAACAATTTCTTTTCAAAGTTTCACAAGTATCCTGTAAATGTTTATTATTATTATTTTGTCTATTAACAGGATCATTTTGTTGTAATTCCTCCTTTTGATGATCTTCGTAATCTACTACGATAGGATTATTCTGAACAGTAAATTCAAAACTTGTCATCACACCGATAGACACTTGCTGTTCCATTACACCTTTCTCTGCATGTTGTTCAGATAAAAGAAGTTCTGGTTGATTTCTAATTCTAATATCTTTATTACCATCTACGTTTCTTTCTATAACATTGGTACTTTGACAAGCATTCCTTTTGACATTTTGATTTTGTGTTGTTTGATAATTGGAAGCATCAATGGATTCTGCATGAATGTATCCAGTTTGAGACGAACAGATGCACTTTTTTTTGTCTATTAAAAGTTCCTTCTGCATTTTCAAAAGATTATCTACTTGTGATTGTAAAGATAAAATCTGTTCACTTTGTGCATTCACCAATTGTAATAAATTTTTAATTGTCTCTTGACTTTCTGTATTATTTTGATGATGCATTGGATAAAAAGGTGGTGGGAAAGGATACGTAGACATGTCAAAGTATGGATAAGAATATCCTGGATGCGACATCGGTGGAAATTGATTATTAGGAAATACATTGGGAGTAGTTACATTATGGGCAGGTGGATGACTTTCCGTATTACTTGCATTGACTTGTGCTTGCATACAATTTTGAAGAACTAAATCTTGTTTACTTGTAGGAGGGTACGATGGTATAGTTTTGTTATGACTACGATTATCATAATAAGTATGGGTATCTTGTTTAGGATTATTTTGAAGTCTTGTCCTCTCATTATAGTCTGGATAATCTTGACTACGATCATGCGATGTCACAGATTTAGTATTAAGTGAATAATTATGTGGTGTACGTGGTCTTGAATGATCCTGTTCTCTTTTATGAGTATGTACATCTTTTCTTAAGATTTTATTACCATTATCACATGAATCAGTATTCCTTTGTACAGAAGTTACAGGATTATAGGAGTAATCATGTTGAACTTTGTGCGAGTTATTCTTCTCATTGACTTTATAATTGGATGTCTTAGAAAAATTGTGCTGTCTCCAAGCAGCATATGAGGCATGTTTGTCAAATGAAGGTGAAGCAGAGACAACAGGTTTTGTACTTCTATTTTCCACAGGCTTATCCAAAATAAGTGATACCTCTGGTACTGATGTAACTGCAAAATTCTATATATGACATGTTTTACCTATTTATAATCAAATTTAAAATAATGTTTAATATGACAGTAAGAAAATGTTTCTACCTCAATTTTCGTTGTAGGTTTAGGTGTAACTCTTGGCTCAAATTCTTCTCCATCGTCGTCGCCAGTAAATCGACGTTGCATATTTTAATTGTTTGCAATAATAATATTAAAAATAATTCATGTAACACTTAATTTTTATGCTAATATTTATCGTGTAAAAGATTATATTTCAAAATTTCAATTAACGTACACTCAATAACGGTATAACACTAACTATATCAAAATTTCACTGACAGAAAATTAATATCCCGCGCGAAATCGTTTCAGTTTATAGCTGCGATACAATTGGTCGATAGCTGATACGCGATTGGTCGATACATCGATTTATTTCCATAATTAAGAATTTCAATTTTTGAATTTCAAAACAAATTAATATTAAAATTAAATACAATAGTGATTAAATATTATTCAATTAGTCTTCTAAATAATAATATGAGTTTATAAATTAATCAATTAGTGTGTTAATTGATGACGATAAGAAATTCGACGAATAAGAAACGACAGATATTTAACGAAATAATATATCACGGTAACAAAACTAGTCAAAAGTAGTGTTACGTAAATAAACTTGTTAAAAAGAAAAAGAAAAACAAAAGAATTCTACTACGAAATCACCGCAACTTGTCATACGATCGATTGCGTTTAACCAATGAGAAACGCGAACTAAGAGAATTCACAAGATGAATCAAATTTCTGCTTCAACGATTGGTGAATAACGTGGAATAATATGAAATAATGATAAATTCCCTAAAAAATAAACTCTGATTAGTGTTTGGATTGACCAACAATATTTCGATTATCCGTTTACATATCATGTGACCTTTTCACATTTATGCAAACCTCAGTAATATTTAGCTCACGATTCTCACAGCAAAACAATAACAAACCCTTGTCTCTTCTTAAAGGATTAAAGTGAAGGTAAAATCTTTCATCAAGTGTGTGATTTGGTGATATCAGGTGTCAGAAGAAATTCCATTGAAATCTTTCGACATCATCTGGCGATTGATTAACAACAAGGATCGATATTTCATTAGTAAAAGGAAATAATCTTTCGATGAACATGCGATGTTGTCGGTTATAGAAAATACTTGCTGACGAAAGTCATGGTCATCGTACATGGATATCGTAAAAGTTAGATGGTCCAGTATGTAAACCTTTCACGCAGGCATTTATTCAGACTGTTTAATAAACTGTGCAAACTAGTGTTCGTTATTATTATATGACCGATGTTAAATAATATTGACAATTAAGTGTTTTAGATTAATTCTAAGAACGAATATTGACATCATATAAAGCAGTGATTAATACGCGCGTCTTCCGACCACGCGTGTCTCGTTAGACATGCGCTTCATATACTAATTTAATTTTATCTAATATTGTTGTTTGTTTGTTTGTTTGTTTTTACTTTTCTTTCTCTCTACAGATGTTATGCGACAAGTTTTTTTTCATCTTTTTTTTCCTACCCCTAAAATATCGATCAAATAAGTGACATTTGCTGAGGAACTTGTGTTTAGAACAATTAAGAGTTTTTTTTCAAAATTCGTTTAACTCAAATGTGAAAGAACTAGTATCCATTGTCTCTACTGTGTGTATATAAATAAACTATACTACAGGCTCGAGTAACGTAGGTATCTATTGTTTATATTATATATATATATACAATATATATATATATAATAATAAATAATAATAAAATATATATAATAATAATAATAAAATATACATATCTCAATAATATATATATAGATTTATGTATACAATACATATATATATATATCTCAATAATAAAAATTTGTTTACAAATGCAATACGTTATGTTGACACAGTGAAATATATATGGTTTCGCGAATGGAAGACGTTTGTTATCCAGAACTCTTGTTGGATAATAAAGATAACACAATGGATAGTATAGTGAAACATGAGCCTCCTCAAGAGATGGGCCCATCTTCTGCCTCTGTTCCAATACCTGGAGGACATAGAGGAACTAGAGGTATCTACGATCAATTCTCACCTTCACCACTTCAAACTTCTATTTGGAGTAATAGGCCAGAAACTGTCGAATCTCCCTTCAAAATGGATCCAGAATTGGAAATATCTTGTAAAATGGATGACGATGATATATTTCAAGTGGACAAATCTGACCTCATACATGGACCTACACTTGCTGAACTAAATGCTAATGACGATACCCTTCTAGGAGATTTAAATTTTGATGATTTATTATTACCAGAAGAATATATTCAACCATTAAGGATTGGATCCAATGTTGTTTCTGGCAATTCATTGTTTAATAGCAATGGACCTGGATTTGCATCCAGTAGCTTTCCACAAACTGGTACTGCGTATCGAAGTTCACCAATACATACACATAATACTGGATTTTTATTAAACAGAGATATTAATATAACAAATAACATGGATGGTGTCAGTTCTCCTATTTTTATCAGTCCAGGAACTAGCAATGTTGCAGGTTCTTATTGATTATTATTATTTTATTTTATTTTTTTTTTTTTTTCATTAAATTTCATTTATAATCGTTATTCATTTTTTTCTAATTAATATTTTGTAGGTAGTTCTACAGCTAGTTCATCTACTTCTCCTCTTGCTGTAACAAAATCAAGTGGACCATCTGCTCTCCATGAGTTATTAATGAAACGAAATGAAAGTTCTTTGAATAATCCAATAATTAGTCCAGCTGATACAGCATCTGTTACGGGTAGTAAACCTAAGGTTTCGAGGCTCTCTATGTCTGCACCGACACAATCCATGGGTTTGGAACAAATTTGGGCTCACAGAGAACCACGACAGCATCTTTTAAGTACCGGCAGTCTCAGTTTAGTTGAAGCAGGATCTACGAGTAGTTTAAGCACTGGTGGTGCTCTTAGTCCAGATCCACTTGGTTATTTAGATCCTCTTAGTCATGATGAAGGATACGAAGATAGCGATGATGACAGCGACCATTATGACGATTACAGCAGCGATAATGGTATTTAAAAATATATTAAAAGACATGTCATATTATATTAAAATAAATATTATCTCTGTCATTTTGTAAGAAATATAATGGTACCTTTTTTTTTTATAGATACCGGTGGTAGCGATGCAGAAGACCAAAGCTTAGGCGACTCGGCAGAAATAGGAAGGGAGGGTAAACACAATAAAAAGGAAAGATATTTTTGGCAGTATAACGTTCAAGCGAAAGGTCCAAAAGGTCAACGTTTAGTTGCAAGATCACGACTTGAAGATCCTCATGTATTAAACGAAGCTACAGATCCTGTGTTCAGTCCACATTGCGCCTTGAGGGGTATCAAGCACAGTGGTAAAGCACGTAAAGGTGATGGCAACGATCTTACACCAAATCCAAGAAAACTTCATAGCATTGGAAAAGAATTAGATAAGCTTACACGCGTTATTAAAGTTATGACACCTGTCTCCGAACTTCCATTCCCAGCGAGGCCTAAAACACGAAAAGAAAAAAATAAATTAGCTTCTCGTGCCTGTCGTCTTAAGAAAAAAGCACAACACGAAGCTAACAAAATAAAATTACATGGTCTTGAACAAGAACACAGTTGAGTAAAAAAAAATAATTTCATTTATTATGATTTGTATCCAAATTATTGATGATTTTTCTTTTTTTTTAACGACACAATTTTCTTGTTTTCTTTTCTCTCTTTTTTTTTTTCTTTTTTTTTATCACAGGACGATTAATTCAAGGCATCTCACAAGCGAAACAAACATTAGCAGCTAAACTAACGGAACCTAATCCTGAAAATCAAGAAGAATTAACAAGACAAATGGAAAAACATTGCAAATTGGCTACCAGTTAGTATAAAATAACACGATAATTATTAATAATAAAATAATCATATCCAAATATCGTTTTGATATTCTACTATTGTTACAGAGATACGCATAGCAAATCATTCAACTGATTTTGTCAATGAAGTGTTAAAGAAGGTCAAAGCTGGAGTACCTGATGGTGGCCTTGATGATTTTTAATATAAATGAATCTTTTTTTTTTTTTTACACTTATGTTTATACTTATGTACAGAAGATTGTTAGAGGAGAAATTGAAGAAGAGAGCGAGAGAGAGAGAGAGAGAAAGAAAAAAGAATTTATGCTTTTACATTAGGACAGCTTCATTTTGTTTTCTTTTTTTTTTTTTATTTTTGTGAAAAAAAAAAACGTGCTAAGAGGAACACACTATTGTTAATTTATTGATTAATGTGAATAAATATAATAATCGCTATGTTATAATAATTACAGGTAGAAAGAAAAAAGAAATCAATATTCTTAAGAGAATCGCAGAATCGACAATTTTGTGTACTCAGCTTTTCTAATATGATACTGTCTCTACATTTTTTTTTTTTTTTTTTTATTAAAGACTGTTTGTTCTTTGTTATTGTACATAGTATTGGTTCAACTGTACATAATATTTTTTTTTTTTTAAATCATAATCAAACAACAGGAACGATGTACCTTATTTATGCAGTCAAACTGACCAGTCACCGAGTAAAAACAACCTGTAATAAAATTCTTTTATTCTCTGTAATAGAATAGAAATATTTTTGTTATTCCTCTATATATTTTTTTATATTGTTTATCATACATATATACATATGTATATTCGTTTAAGTGCATATTTATATATATGCATAAATAAGATATACAATTGCATACTTGGAATGATAAATGAAAACATATAATGATTCATCAAGTAAGGATAATATAAGTTATATCTCCTTTGTTATGTATTTGTTTTTATCTCTCTCAATAGAGAAAATGTTAACACATCGTGTAATATAATTTTGACAAAATAATATTACATAATGAAAGATTTCTATTATCCTTTGTGAATGAAATTAGCCAAATATTAAAATGTCATTTGTAAATGGTACAATATTTTTTTTTTTTTTTTTTGAAATAAAATAATATTGATTGAAATGTAATAAAATTACTTCTTTTTTTTCTTCTTCTTCTTCTTATATATATGAACTTTTTTTTATCTGAAAGGTAGATAAACAAAAAGAAAGATCATTATTTAATAACTAAACGTTTTTATAATATAACTAGATTTAAGAATAGTTTCTATTGGTTTATTCTTATTGGTTTAAATATATCTGAACAATGATTGGTTGATATTTGATAGGATTGAAAACACTTGCTGCGTAAAACTAGATTTTTTTCTATTAGATAGAATGAAATAGAAGAAAAAAGAAAGGGGGATAGGAAGAGTAGTGAATAGTGTTTGTGTCCTCTGTAGAAAATTTGCGGTATGTACCGAGTTGTTAGGTTATTCGGTTCAAATCAAATTCTAAAGTAACTATGCTGATAATAAGAAAAATATCTTGAGTGATTTATTATTTCTATTGTCTTAAATAATGGCAGAAAATCTGTCTAAACGGCCTTCTAAAGGAATCTTGAAAACTTCCAGCAGTTTCGATAATCCAGAAGCGCCTAGGTATAAATCATTTATTATATTATATATTTAAATTTATCATCATCATCATTACTATATATTGTTCAATCAAAATAATAATTTTACTAAATGACATTTTGTTAAGAAAAAAATTTAATAAATAAATAACACTTTAAAACTTAATCCTTTTATTAAAACACGTTAAAAATCAATTCATTGTTCTTCTTCTTATTATTATTATTTCAAATTTCAAATTTAAATGAATGATCTAATATTTATTTCATTAAGTATTAAAAATAATGTTGACTACATAAACATGACTCACTTTGTATTACTGTATTAATAGTACTTAAAGTGCATCCTTTTTAAATGAAAATCACTGAAATTACATGTCATAACTATTACAATGGTTCATTTAAGATTGCACTATTGTTATGTAAATTTGTACCTTTCTTTCATCAATACAATTATACTTAATTAATAATGATTGAAAACATAACAATGTTGTTTCGAATGTTACTATACAACAGGTTATATTTTAATATACTTTTTGTTATAATCAAATAATATGTTAATTAATAATTTTGTTTTTTCTTTTTTTTATATATATAGACCAAGTAAAGAAACAAAATGGGATGAAATGAACATAATCGCAACTTTACATCCACCCGATAAAGATTATGGCCATATGAAAATAGATGAACCTAAAACCCCATATAGTTATGAAGGCCTTGGTAATGAACATGAATTAGATGAAATAGACACTGTTGCAATTGCAACTAAGTAAGTTATCAATTGTATAAATAAAAAATACATCATATTTCATTTCAATTGAAATGATTGAATAAATATTTCTTGCATTTTAGATTAGCTGAAGGTACTAAGCCCAAAATTTTTGATGAACCAAGTGAGGATGAAGATGATGAAGAAGAAGAAACACCAGAAGAAAGAGGTAAAATAATTACAATTTTTTTCTTCTTTTAGTATAATAATAATAATAATAATAATAATAATAATATAAAATAAATTGTATAATAATTGTATTAATATTAATAGAAAAGAGAAAAGCATTCGAAGCAAAAAGAAAAGGTCATTATCGTGAATGGCATGCCGTACAATTAGCACGAAAGCAGCTATTGGAACAAGATGAAGATGATGAAGATGACGAAGATGATGAAGGTGATAATAAAAATGACAGCGATACATCATCGGAAGAAGAAAGTGCATTTAAAACACGTTTTAAGTGCATGCCGTCCTGTGATAGAAGAGAGAACAAATAAATAAATACAAATATAAAAGAAGAAGAACAAGAACAACAACAACAACAACAAAAAGAAGAAATCTTTAGTAATTCAATTTTATATCATAGATAGATTCTCTATGTCATCGTTTGTAAATAAATATAACAAAGAGATTAGATTCTTTTTTATAAGTTCTTAATTTCAGTATATTACTGATTAAGTTGTTTTTTTAACTTATATATATATATATATAAATATATGTATCTAAATTCTATTAAGAATGATTATAACATCATCATCATTATTATTATTATTATTTGATAATTATTTACATTGCTTATTCGTTTTATACTAATTATATATATAATGTGATTTATATATATTCATATATTTATGTATTTCATTTATATTCATATATATATATATGTATATGCAGTGCAATGTCTATTATTATAAAATTAGATGACATTTTCTGATAATAATTTTGTATATATGTACAATCGAAAATGTTAATTTTGACTAACCGTGCATTTAAAACAACCACAAACAACACAGCAACTAATATTAATCATAATATTATATTTTTGGTCTTTCATGTTGCTCCAATTAATAAGAAATAATATGACATTGTATATCATTGTAATTAAATCACCATTTAAACGACCGTCACTAACAACCTCGTGTCAAGATTAGTACAAATTTATGCGCGTGCAGTATTGAATATAATAAAAGAAGAAGAAGAAGAAGAAAATAAAAAAAGAGGAATACAATAATTTTTAGATTAACGCAGTTTGAATTTAATCGAGTATTCCATATTATAATGATTATAATCGTTCTTATGTATACACTAAGGTAGAGACGTAAACCATTGTGATTGCTAACAATGGACTGAAATATGTAATTAGAAATAATACGTAGTATAGCTTATAAACAATAACAACAACAAAACAAACATAATGATTGTGACTAATTTAAAGAAAGTGTACGCATTGATATTAGAGTTGCCATTCGTTTGAAAATTAAACAACAATTATATATTGTACAATGTAATAATATCCGTCTGATAAATTAGGATACATTTTTATTCAAACGATAGTAATAATAATAATACAAATTTATGATATAACATATTATCTTTTACATTATTTGATTTACAATGAATTGTTGTTTTCCATATAAAATGAAAGTGAATTAAATGAAAGTTACGATTAACTATTTCCAATGAAAAGTTTAAGCTATTTTGTAGTAGTATGCTTATTAACGGTATATTAACAGTATATTTAAACAGTTGCCATTCGTAGGAAGCAAAAAGATGTATTATCCAAAGATAAATAAATTAACTATCTAATTATTTGATTCTTATCATCTTTTTATTGATTTATTACACATTATGATATGATATTATGTAATGTTATTTTCAAAATTAAAATTTAAACTAACCGACTTCAATTAATATAAACATTTATGTAAATAATTATTTCTGAATAATTAAAAAAAAAAAAAAAAAAGAGAAATATAATTGAATTTTAATTTAATTAATGCTTCGTAAAAGGTGTGTTATTTTTTTTTTTTTTTTTTTTTGCAAAAAGTTAATTGCCATTATCTTTAGAGTATACCAGAAATAATAATAATAAAAATTATATTCGATCGTATATATATATAAATATTATATTTATAGATAAAAATTCATCGAAATGTAGAAGAAGATGATATAATAAAATAAAATAAAATAAAATGATTGAAAAACAAAAAAAATGTTTCCATCAATTTTCTTCTCAATGTGTACATAAAACTATATATATATATATATACAAATATATATATATATATGTATATATATAATAATAAAATTTTATTGATCCAATGAAATTATGTACAAAAGAGCTTGTAGTCTTAATATAATAAAATTAGATAATAAAAGAGGACCGACAATTGAGATTATTTTTTTTTTTTTTGTTTTGTTTCTTTTAAGCACAATATTATTAAAACATAACAATCATTAATAATATAATTATGAGATAAAAACAGTCAGCAATAAAAGAAGATATATTACAATGCTGAACATTTTGCTATTATTGTGTTTTTTTTTTTTCATACATTACAATTACAAAATAATAATCCCAACGTTCAAATAAATGTTCACAAATTTTCTATGTTACACAAATTAACCAATTAATATTAATTGAAAAAATGTATCCGTCTGTCTGTTGTGATGTATTGCGTGTGTATGTGTATTTATATGGTTGTGTATGTGTGTGATCTTTCATATTCAACTATAATTGTCTAAGATGTCACACAATGTATATGTACATAATTAATTTTATTCATCGAGCACATAGAATATTAATTCAAGCACGGTATGCGTATCCTGACTACTTTGAGCAGCCTTATGTAGAATTTGTATTAATTCATTATCAAGACTATTCATATAGATTGGTGGTAACTTTGCACCTTCACTACCAGCTTCATATCCAACCTATGTTCATTCATTAATATACTTGTTAAGAATAATTGTATTTTATACAACACCATCATATTTAATAATTCAATGAAGACTTACGTTATCCGGATGTATAGTAGTCCTAACACCAATTTTGGTAAGACCTGCTGTCGCTAAAAGATCTAAAAGTTTAACTAAAGCTGCACACGTTGCCCTCGCTATACTCTCCGATAATTTATTTATATCCATAGGATCGTGAACACCATTTGGATGATCGTCCGACTGCATATTGAATTTGTTTGTTTGTTTGTTTTGTTTAATATAGTATCAAGTAAAATGAATAAAATATTAAACATACTTTGATAATGAAAACTTCAGTCCAACGAATGAATCTACTGGTTCCTCTGTAATCTGTAGCATTATGAACTCTTATAGAAGGTACGCCATCCATTAATTGTCCATCGATAGGACTCTTAACTCTGTCAATTTAAATATATATATTTCATGAAAAATGAATTTAAATTGAAAACAACGTTCTAAATGCTATTAATGAAAAATATCTAATTAGTCTTACCCTAGATTAAATTGTACGTCATTTTCTACCCATTTGATATTTACAGTTTCATCCGGCTCAGTCGCACCTTGACGACCACAACCGATAGAAAAATCATGCATATTTTTAAGAGCTGCTTTTAAAGCTTCCATTTTTTCTGGCATTATTTCTACCATTAAACCATCTTCTACTATACTAGATTTAGCTGACAATCCCATCGATGACTTTAATGCACCGTTTATGACAATGAAACTTGCTCCAGTTACTGGAAATAAAATGTTTATACGTTCATTATAGATTTTGTTGTTGTTGTTGATGTTATTATAAATGTGATTAAACAAGTTGTACCTGTTCGTGGTTTATTTTGAATATTAATAGCTTGAGTTTGATAACTGCTTTCATCTCCTGTATTAGTTTGTATACATACTAGATGGGAATCTGCAGTTATACTAAAATTCGAAGCAAATGCCAAAACATGATCGTTAGAATTATTTAGACCTTTTATAACTTGATCATATCTATTTCTGGGAAACATAACATCTGTCGTTCTATTTTTCAAATGAATCGTTAATCCCCTGACACCTGGCAATGTGTATCCAAAATTTCGAAAATCCGCTAACACTTTCATAACTGTATGTCCTATTTCGAAATAAAGTGCATCACGAAATCTAACTGAGACTAAGGGACATGGATAGTAACGATATTCAGCACCAAGACGTAATACAAGACGTAATGGAAATACTTTAGCCCATGGTGTTTCCCATCTGATTAGAAAAAAAAAAAAATATATATATATATATATATATATCAATTGATGTATCATTAAATATTATTTGTTCTATTGATGTTAATTTAATTATAAATAATTATAATTTAAGACATACCTATGAATTAAAAGACCTACTAGAAATGGTGACGGTGGTAAAACAATTTTTTGTAAACATTGTAAAGTTTGTCGAATAAATAAAAATCCTGCGTGTTCGCGAGAGCCCAAAAGATTGCCGCCACCTTGATGTATCGAAACGGAAAGTTCTGTCATCGTATTTCCTATACATGTATTGATTGTAATATAAAATATTAATAAATAATTTGTAAAGAACATAATCTTTAGATACAAACAAAATAATATGCAATATCAACCTTTCGTTGCTTCTATATAAATATGATTAATATACATAAGAAGATCTTTCGGTATTTGCGTTTCATCGGGTAAAGTTTCTAATAATAATATAATTTCATCTTGACCAACACAGGCCAATCCTTTAGAAGTAACATTCCAACATATTCTGTTTACACAGCAACTTACTAAAAAAAAAAAAAAATACAAATCAATTCACAATAATACTATTTTTGTTCCAATTAAACAAATTCATTTTTCAACTTACAATTTGTTATTTTAACATACGCGTAAAGATTCTTGTTAATAGCAAACATTACTGGTGGTTCGCATTCATTTTTCAACGTTCTGTAAAGTAGATCCTGGTCGTTCACATTGTGATAAGAAATTTCTAAAAATATAATAATATGAAGATTACGATAATTAGAAAATTATCAATTAATATTTTCAATTATAATATTTTTACTTACGTCCTTTATGTATGGTAACTGTTGGTGGTAACAAATTAGGATCCTGTGGTATGTAACTATTAGTATTTGGGTCCAAAGGTAATAGGTTTTGTTTTTTACTTCCACTGGATATCGAAGAGGTGTCAGATGCAGATACTCGTTTGCTCCCTGTTTTCCGATAAGGTGGTTTTAAATCCCAAGATGAATCTAGTTCTGTCAGGTCACATCCAGGCCTTATTCCTATGTTTAGTTATTTGGGTGTGAAAACAAAACAAAAAGGATGGGGCAGGATTGTTAAAATAAACGAGTATTTAAGAAAAAACTAAAGTCAGAAAAGAAAAAAAATATATATGATGTGTATGTATGTGTATGTGTGGGATTAACATAAATAAGACAAACAAAAAATAGAATAATCAACTTAATATAAATGGATGGAATATTTCAATACGTGAATGATTTTGGGATTATATTGTTGCACGAGTTATATAATTATACGTACACCACACGTTTCTAAAATTACTAACAATAATTACAAGATTGATTCAAAGTCAATCATTTCTTGTTTCAGACGTTCAACTAAATAATATATTCATTTTAATAATAATTAGATAAAATAGTATGATTATTTAATACGAATTAAACTCACCATCGCTAAACATGACGGACTTAGATCCTTCCGAACGCTGCTTTGTACTACCTTCCCTTTTAAGAACACCAACAGGCACCATCACTGTTGGTGGTGGCGGCGGCAATCCACCTGCTAGTTGCTGTAAAGGTGGTATAGTTGAACAATATTCCATAGGATTATTTGGATTAGGTGGTCTTCCCTATAATCATTTATAAAATAATCCTACTATTAGCAATAAGTTATTCTTTTCTATTTAAAAAAAAAGGATGCACTCCAAGTATAACATATCTATATGAAAATTGTAGGATTACTATATTTACAATCTTGATCATGCTACCTCCCTATACTTACTTGAGGAGAGTTAACATCGCTATTGTTACCATAATTTACGCAATTTGTAGGCCAATTACTTGTCTCGTGTTGATTTTCAGCTACGATAAATAAACAATAAGATTATTGATATATTTTGTATAAATATATTGAAACAAACAAATCATTTACCTTTCATTAAAAGTTGATAACAGGCAACGCAGACTCTTGAATGAATATTACCTTGATATTCCAATCTGTATTTCATATTACAACATTTGCTACAGAGTACCTACAATAGTGTAACAATAAATGTCTAACGATAAAGTATGTAAATTACATTTCGTATAAATAATAAATGTACCTTTCCACAAGCACGACAATGATGGCGTCGTTTAAGCACAGTAAATTTGATATCACATAACATACAACTAGAAGCATCACTATCAGGAATCCAGAAGGGTGGTTCTTTACCAAGTATTTTAATTGACTCTGTTAAAGTACTTTCTGTAAGATCTGTTGTTGTTGTTGTTATTTCTCTGCTGTTATTAACATTATTTCCTTCATTTTCCGACGTACCTTGTTGCTTAGAAGCGTTACTAGGAGAATCTGTATTTAATTGAAATTCATGAATTATTTGTTACACATTTAATGTTTGAATTTAATAATATATCATGTATATATATATATATATATATACATATATATATACCTGTTGCAGGATGATCATTCATACTAACTGTTGAAGCAATATCTAAAGTTTGTGGACGAACAGCTTTACTTCCTCCTTCATTATTTTCTGTATTATTTTCTATGCAAATGTCTGTACTTTTTGGTTGTATATCTGTACATATATTAACGATATCGTTTAAAGTTTTATTACCTTGTAACTTATGACTTTTGTCTTTGGTATCATAACTAGTATTACCAAGTATTTGTATTTCGCTAATTTGATTATTATTTTGTTCCGAAGATGAGATTACATCTTTATTATTTTGTATCGTACACGTATTACTTTGAATTACAGATTGTTGAACAATTTCTTCCGATTGTTGTTTGGATTCATTATTATCAATTCTAATAATACGTACATCATCTTCAGAAGATGACCAACCACATTCAGTTTCGTTTGTTGCTTGATTTTTGATCTCTGTATCGTTAACATATTCTACATTATCTACAGGTTTATCCAAATTTGTAACTATTACATTATTATCACTTTGCGTTTGTATTTGTTGTCCTTCTTTATTTACAGAAATAATTGTTGTAAAATTATTCGTACTTTTCCTCAAATATTTATCATCGTGTAAAATATTATCAGATACTTTTTCCTTTATATTATTTATATCTTGATCGTCGTTTTTATTTACCGAACTTCTTTCAGAATACTTATCCGTTGTAACTTTGATTTCTTTTTCTACAAATTGGCTATTGTCAATTTTATTAATTGCTAAATGGATTTGTTGTTTATCGTCTTTAGACTCTTCGTAAGAAAACGTATTATTACTTGTATTGTTCTCAATTGTATTCTTATATCCTTCGGATAACAAGGCATTTTGTGGATTTACTGCACCTTCCGTTAAATTTTCTTCTATCTCTAATGTCTCTAAATATTTATTTAATTCTTCTTCCGACAAATCATCGTTAATATTATTAAAACCAATTGGCTTTTGTACAGAATGTACAAGATTCTTTGACTCATGAGAATTCGATGGTAATGCATTCATATCAATGTCATGAGATTCATTAATTTTCTCTACAGTTACTTCATTAGAAATATTTGTTGCTTCAGTTTGAACTATCATATTAGTATACAATTCATCTGTTAATTTACATGCATCATCTAATTCTGAAAGTACACTTTCCGAAGCACTATCATTCATTTTCTTATCTTCAAATACACGAATATGTTCATATTGAATATTCTCTTTATATGATTGAACAATTGGTTCTTTTTTATCTGTATCAATATCATTATCTGTTTGTTCACTTTTATATTCCATATTTACACTTTTAAGATCCTCTTGACTACTTTCTACATGTGATTTTAGAGCTTGTGATGTATCCGCATTAACAAATTGATTTGTATTTTCTATAATATCTTGATTCATGGATAAAACAATACTTGTTTCCACATCATTGCGTACTTCTTCGACTATCTTACTTTTATCCGTTGTTATTTTAGTTACATTGTGATCAATAACTTCAGTATTTATATTAGATACAATTTTATCTTCAGTAATGATATCAGTTTGTTTCTTAGGCCTAATCTCTTGTTGTTTGTCCAACATACTGTCTGCATAATCCAAACTTATAGTTGGTGCATTAATATATTCATTTAAACTATTAAATACATTGCTAACGGTAGGCTTGATATTTGGTTGATTTAATTTTTTATCATATCTGTTTTGTAAAAGTTGTTGTTGTTGTTGATTGTTATTACTATTTTGTTGTTTAGTTAATAACGTCTGCGACGTGTTATTGTAAATGGTGATAGAAATAGGTTCAGGATCTTGATGATAAATAGATTGTTTGTGTGTAACTTTATGATCACTTGTAGAATTTTCAGCATGAAAGTGATTTATCGAGTCGTTACATTTTCTAATCGTATCATCCTTGTGATAATTATTTTGAGATAAAATAACGCTCTTGTCGTGCGATGATTTACTCTCTGCAATAACATTAATTTTATTCTCATGTTTTCCACCAAATGACAATACTTCAAAGTTTTGAATTAATTTTGCACCATCAACGCTGGGTACATTGCTGGACGAAGATTCTATGCCACACCGATCAACATTTAATGTTGCATTGGTTATGGGAGATGTTACAGATGCTATTTGTTCTGCACAATCTGAAAAATTCAATATATTATTTTAATTACGACGTTGTATCAAATATCAAAGTATACGTATAAGAAAAAGTATGCTTGTACAAAATCTGTATTGCAATTGTCATTAATCAACGATAATTTAATTTAATAAAATTGACAATGAATTTAATTGGTTTTCATTAAGTAATTACAAAGAAATTAATTGAAATAAGAATAAATCATTTGTTAACATTTTTATTACCTTCATTAAATTCGAAGTCGTCAAGAACTTTGTCCAAATCAATAGCAAATTTCTCCATTGTATAAATCACTGCTTTTTATAGGATTAGTACCATGTAGAAAACAGGTTTAGAAGATTTTTGATAGTAAAACATGTAGTAACAGTGTCAAAGGCGCAAGTACGATGTACACTGATACTCGATACGTGTATATGAATGTATATATGTACGTATGATGTGTGCATATATATGCATATATATATATATATTAATTTTTTTGTAAACACATATGTGAAGAGATAATGAAGAATATTATTTCTTGATAATGTATGTCCTAAAGTCAAACTTTTTATTATTACAATGATAAATAAACTTTCTGAATTATAAAACGTATGTGTGTGTCCATATATGTATATATATATATATATAAAAACAAAAATAAAAATAAAAAAAACAAATATAACAAATATTACAGTCCAATCTTCTTTTATTCTTTTAAAACACTTCTACTCGTTCGATAAGAAAGTGAAAAATATCATTTTTATATTGTCAAAATTGTTATTGCACAATGAAACTGTTGAATTTTGATAATTGAACATTAATGACTTCAGCATCACGTGGACTATTTCTCAATATTAAATATAATGGTAACCTATTTACGTTGTCAACTGTCATTTTACAGCGGTTGTCATTATATTGTACAGCTCACTATTATACCACTTAGTTAGGTCATCCCGTACTGTCTACCATGACGCCAAATCGTGCGAATTCGTACGAACTCGTGTGAACTCGCTGTAACTGCGACTGCGCAATCGTGTAACCTGCGCTGTAATCTCGTGCTCCACATTGGCGCTAAATTTAAATTATTGTTTATTATTATAGGTGTTAAAACGTAAATATGTTATGTAAGTGATATATGTATCTAATCAATAAATTAAGATAAAAATAATCAAATTTTTGTGTAGACCATTTTTTAAACAGTAAAAAATATTAAATTGTACGGGAAAATATACAAAACAATATTCACAAATATTATTATATACAAAATGATTCTTTTACCATTAAGGATTCTACTCCTATATATACGTATATAACATTTTTCTTTTTCTGTGTATGTTAATATAATATAAATTAAAAAAAAAAATGTATATGCTACATTTAAATATTTTCAAAAATGTTTACAATAAATCGTTTTATATTTATTATATATTTAATTAACTCTATAGTGATAGAAATCCATAATCAGACGACTGATATTGATTCCAGAACATAATGTAATTATATATATTATTAACATTATTGGTAGAGCGGAAAAAATGATGTGTGTCTTGTGAAGTATTTCAACACCTAAAAAAGGAAATATGTTTAATATTATACTTGTATAAAATATTTAAACAATGAACATATAAATATTGTATTACTCACTTGTATATCCCAAAAAAGTAATGTATATGTAATATATAACGGATATAAACCAAAGCGTATTACCAACGAATCGTGCACCAAAAACATTTGAATTTACGAGGCCTACAAAATTGTTTAATTGTTTTTAACATAACACATATAATAAAATTATTCCCTCTTTTAATTACAATATATAAATTCACAGATAATCTTACCATTATATATAAAAAGTTGTAATATGTGAAGTATTATTAAAGGTGGAAAGAAAGCATTCAAGTGAATATCAAATGCGTATCCCCACTCGACGTCCTGACTTCTATCAATTCTTAAATACCGATTAGTTACAAACCTATATATATATATATATATAATAAAAATGTTTTAATATAAATAAAGAATGCTGATACTTAGACTTAATATATGCATTTGAATAAAACCTACCAAAAAACAGTAGCTACTAATAAACCAACACCAATGTAATCAACAAAAATCATATAAAGTAAAAGCCTTAGAAATTGGAGAAAACCTAATCCCAAAACTATGGCAATACCAACTGCTGACACGCACAGCCAACATGTCAATAATACTAAAAATGCTGGATCATCTCTTGCAAATTGTGATTTTGTTTCTGAAAATGAATAATTTTAATTGATAAAAAAAAAAAAATAAAATAATAGATTATTATTTTTAATTGATTTAATTTAACATAAAAACACTTACGTTTTCTACTTTGAAAATTTCTATAAACCTTTTGTGGTGCTGTAAACAAAAAGATCATTTGCCATAAAGCAAATTCAAAATCCATTTGTTCAAATTTTAATAACTTCCTCAAGTATTTGTAACATTTGGTAGCAGCACTAATACAATTATGTCTGTAATATAATAATAAACATTAATTATTTTCATGAAAATAATAAATAAATAAATAAATAAATAAATAAATGAATGTCATACCTATATGTAACTGGTGTTGGTAACGATGATCCTACGTCTACTAAAATTGGGGATGTACAACGACTTGTTGGTGGAGAAGTTGAAAATTTCATTTTGATTATTAATTATAATATCCAATTGTTATTTTTCTTTAACTTCTGAAACAAAAAATATAATAAATTATTAACAATTAATTTGTTATATTGTCTCATTAATAATAATGAAAAAAAAAAATTACTTTTATTTTATTATACTGTAAGCAAGAATATAACAGATTGTATAGCATAATTTGTTTACAAACGTTGCTCTCTCTCTCTCTCTCTCTCTCTCTCTCTCAGGATGTTTCCAATCACAAACAAACAAAAAAAAAAAAAATAAATTGAACAGAAATAGAATCATTTGAATTAAGAGAACGTTAGATATATTTCTATTGTAAACGTAATCGGTCGTATTATTTTTAAAAAGTCAGATAAACGAATATATTATTATATCAACATATTTATAATTAATTGAAAAGTATAGTACGTAAAATTAACGAGTCAAAATGTTTTGGGGTTTAATATTGCATCCAAATCAAAAATATTCTCTAAAATTTGAAATGTCGCTCCATATATCTATGGCAGTTGTAGATATTTCAACTATCAATAATCAGATAGTAAATGTGATTGCATCTAAAGATAATATTAATTTTTTAATATGTACCTTATCAAGTAAATCTAATTGGCAAACACCACTTAATTTGAATTTTGAAAAAGGATCTAAAATATCTTTGTTTTGTACTGGTAAAAATGATGTACATTTAACTGGATATTACAAAGACAATCAACAAAGTAATAAAGAAATAGAAAACGTAGAAGCAAAAGAAGAAAATGAAAAACAAGTTCAAAAGAAATATGTATTAGTAGATGATAAAAAACTTAAAAGAAAGGCTACATTTTCACCTGCAATTATTAAAATAAAACGAATGAAATGTGAAAATAATGAAATCTCAGCAAATAGCACAAGTAAGGATACTACTAAAGATAAAGAAGAGGAACAAGAAGAAGGTGAAGAAGGTGAAGAAGGTGAAGAAGATGAAGAAGATGAAAACAAAAACGAAGAAGAGGAAGAAGAAGAAGAAGAAGGTGAAGAAGAAGAAGAGGAAGAAGATGATGATGGATATGATAATGATGAAGATGAAGATGAAGATGATGATGGTGATGGTGATAATTATTATGTTGAAGATGATGATGATAATGAGGATGAAGATGAAGATTATGATGTTCGTAAATTGAGGTCAAGTAAGAAAACTATTGATGATTCTAAGAATAAAAAAAAAAAAATTAAATTCCTATAATAAAAGTGAATGTGATTGGTAGTTAAAAAGAAAATGTGTAAAAAAAAAATAAAGAAGTAGAAATAAAAAGGAAAAATAAAAATCAACAACAAGATAAAATGGAAGAGAAAATGATGTCTAAAAGTAAAAGGGATAAAAAGAGGAATGGCTCTTAAAATAGTTCGTTAGTTTTCATTGTCTTCTTCTGCTGTTATGTTTTCTATTTTTTTGTTACCTTGCTGATTGATTTTCTTTGTAATATTCAGTTAAGTGTACACTATTTGTACCAGTACAAAAGAAAGATACTTTAGATCCTTTTTCAAAATTCAAATTAAGTGATGATTGCCAATTAGATTTACTTGACAACAGGATACATATTAAACAAATTAATATTATCTTTAGATGCAATCACATTTACTATATGATTATTGTTAGTTGAAATATCTAAAATTGTCATAGATATATGGAACATTTCAAATTTTTCATAATGTTTCTGATTTGGATGCAATATTAAACCCCAAGAGCCATTCTCTTTTTATCCCCCTTTTATTATTAGGCATCATTTCCTCTTTCATTTTATCTTGTTGTTGATTTTTTTTATTTTTCCTTTTTAATTTTTACTTCTTTATCTTGTTGTTTTAAGATTAAGACTGTATGTAATTATTAATTTTCAGATATAAGTATGTGATATTTATCATGTTTGAAATTTGCATAAAGTGTATTTTTTATAAATTATTATCAAATATTGTATTGAAATAAATAATACTTTTAAATAAACTACTGAAAATCAAATATATATACGACATATTACGTTCATTATTTGCTATCAGATAATTCATATAACTTACGTGTACAAATTTTGTAAAATTCATTTAGATATAACCTTAATTTGTATCACACGTCAAACGTCAAACAATATTAATATGACAATTAATTTTCATTGATTTATTATTATACTTACATAGAATTCATATTTTCATTTTTTTTTTCTTATAATATTAATTTCTCTTATCTGAGTTAATGCGTACCGGGATTTTTGTATAGTTGGACAACCGATGATGCAGTTGATATATTTATTATGATTGGATGACTTGATAGAAGAAATTTCTTGCTACAAAAACGAATTGTCAAAATATGTAAGATTCCACGTGTCATTAATACATTCAAGCGTAAAACTGTTAGAATTTTATTAATTTATTAAAATTTAATGTAAAATTAAATGATTAGAAATACGTTTTTATTTTTGATCAACATTATTTACATATTTTTACGAATTTCGATGTTTTATAATGTAAAGATAGATGTGCTCGAATCGCTACCGCTACTACTAGCTCTCTCTGGCGGTTTAATTGAGAAACATTGATAAAATTAAGCTCTACTATATAAAATAAAAATAAAGTTTTGTGTATAACAATACCTGTATATATATATATATATGATGTAATTATTAATAGTTTGATGTAATATGAAAATGAATATTTATTCTATTAAATTGTTATATAGCTACATTTTTGACAATATACATAGCTTCGTTATCACATCCAAATAATAAACTGGATTTATCAATGTCAATACTGTTTATTGGTTTATGCATAACGCAACAGAGCGATGTAACATTGATATTACTATTTGTTCCTATTGTATTTAACCAATGAGTATCCGTTGAATCTAAAATGAAAATTACTATATAAATATGACATATATATATATACATATATAAGGAAATATATTGATAAAGAAATGTCTCTAAAATGACCTAATCTAAGTTTGGATTGTTGTGAATTGTTCCAATGCCATAATTCACCACTGGTCGAACATGTAAATAAATTTTCTGGTCTATCTGGATGAAACATTATTTCGCTCACTGCTCTTGCATGAGCGTTAAGCTGTGATATGGGATAAGTATGATGTCTTAAATCCCATACAGTTAAACTACCATCGCCACCACCTGCAACTATTATATGCCTCTGTGTCGGATGATGTGCGATACTCATAGCTTCGGTCTGAAAAATATTGTATTTAATTATTTGATGTTTTAAGAAAATTATATTAACTACAATCACAATTAAAATATCAAATGTATGCAATACTTTAGTCTCATCGGAAAGCATGAAGGTAGTTGCAGGTATATCTTGATCATTTCTTAAATCCCAAACTTTCATGTGTCCTCTCAAATTGCCTGTTAGTATTTCACTATGTCGTAAAAAGTCAACGCAATAAATTGAACAGCTATCTGCATTCTCTGAAAATAAATCAAGTTTAACGATAGATAAGTACAATTTTTGTATATGTGTATATTTCGTATAACAACTAATATTTACCAATTACTCTAACTGGTTTCTTTTGTGTAGTTGTTAGAAGGTTTATTCTACCATCTTCACCTACAGAAACTATATCTTGTTCAAAGTTAGAAAGTGCAGTGCATGGAGCGTAATCTGACGTTCTATATAAATGAAAATAAATCATAGGAATGAATTTCTCTCTGTATCAAGTATAATATACTTAATAACTTACTGAAAATTATGTAAAAATTCCCATGCCATGTGTTCTTTAAACTGAGGAACTGGGTTCTCTTGAATTTGCAATAATCTGACCGAACCCAAGGATGATGATGCCACAAAAAAGCTACTGTTTATGAACTACAAAATAAATATAAATATCAATTTATATGAAGCAATGTTTATTATATATTTAATATTAAAATACCTTTATTTCTGTGACATCACCAAGGAATGAATATTCAGATACAACAACTGGATATGTTTCATCGTCATCATTTGTTGTAAGAGACCAATGAGTTATTTTGTTTACCTAAATATTACAATAAAACGTTATTAATAATTTATTAATTATTTTCATTATAAAATCACTCAAGTGATATCAAAATTTAGGTTATGTGTTAACCATACATACTGGATCATCCCAACTGCCGGTCAAAAAACTTTTCATTTCTGCAAATTCTTCTCGTTTCCATCTTATCTTTGATATCTTTTGTGAAATAAACGTTCCTTGCACATTTTCACTCATCTTTTAAAATATACTTTATGTCAAAAGTTCAATAAAACAAGAATACTCATGCGGAGTTATCAATCACGTCTACGCGCTAAGAAGATACCCGTCATTCTGAAGTTAAAGAGTACAATATGAATGAATTTGACACAATACATTTAAATATTGTTAACCATCTTTCAATTATTCTTTTCATTTATATATAAAAATACGTAATTTAAATGAGTTCGTGTTAATGAAAAAAGAAAACAGAAAAAAATGGTTTCCCGCGCTCGCGCCATTTTTACGCAAGCGATTAAATTCAATGAAATCTATTTTTGTTGACTCCAGCTTGATCATCATCATCATCATCATCATCATCTTAGAAAGCTAGAAATTCTATTAGAGTTAAATGATTCCACAACGTTGAACCATTCGTAATGTCAGTAATTGTAAAATATATCATATTATTTATTTATTTTGTAATATTTCATTCAACTTTCGTTAGTGCAATCGAATCACTTTCAACAAATGGTAAATATGATCAAATTGAAAAAAAAAAAAAACAATACAAAAGAAAAATTATATTATAATTAATATTAAAAAATATTGCACGCGTATTTACAGTTGATATTGAAAATAATTTAACGGAGGATGATAATATCATCGAAACGCAATATGCAGTTTGTAAAATTTCGACGGAAGAATTAGTGGCAAATGCACGTGCAACAGTAACGAAAGTTCTCACAGGAGCCTGTAACGCGAGTAAGATTGAATCCGATTATAATTTAATTTATCATTTTACAGGGTTTATATTTTTTATATAATTAATTTTATATAAACGATTTTTTGTTTTTATTTTATTTTATTATTTTTTTTTTTTTTCAGAAAATATAGAAGAGAAATTTAAGAAATTAGAGAAACATTTGTCCGAAGAATTGCAAGAGATCAAAGTACTACTTCGTACGTTGATGAAAGAACGTGATACTTTTTCGAAAATTAATGATCATACAATTCCTCGAAATAACGAATTAAACGTTAAATCGGATAACAGATTATTTAGTAACAATCATAAACTTTCTCCAAGACAATACGAGATTAACGAATTTAATAATACGATCACAACAAATGGTCAGTCACGAAAGACCAAATGTTTACTTATTTTTTATTACAAATTATTTATATGAAATATTTCAAAAAAAAAAAAAAAAATGTTTGACTTTTTACAGAATCTTCGAAAGTCTTTACGTATTATTGGGAAGTAAGAGATTTCAATGAGAAACTTTCGAAATGGGATAGAACACGTTCCGAACGTAGTTCAACATTTTACGTAGGTCAACCTGGTTATGCGATGTATTTAAAAATTGTACCGAAATATTTTCCAGATGGTACAATTTTTATAAGCGTTAGTTTAACCCGTGGTTTTTACGATTCCTACGTAAAATGGCCATTTTATTATAAAATTCAATTATCGGTACGAATGTTTGAATAAATTTCAATTTTCACTTATACAATTAATAGATTTATGATCATTTATATAATATGTTTATTGTGAAGATTTTAGATCAGTCATTAGGAGAATGGCAAGAGGATAGACCATCTCGAATTTGGGATCCAAGTGAACTTTGTACGGAATATTTTTGGAAACGGCCTGCGCCGATTGGTGAACCGGATAATCCAGAATGCGTTGGATTAAGTATCCCACGAAATATTATACTTTCTAAATTATCTTTTCCTTTTCCTACTACTACAAGTCAATATCGTTATATTTGGAATGATAGTATATTGATAAAACTTCTTATTTATTTGTAATTATTATACTTATCAATCATTTGTACGATTTTCGATAGAAGATAAGATATCCGTTGTCTTTTGTTTTACAACATGAAATTCATTTATTATTATTGTTGTTCACAGATATAACACATCTTTTTACGTTAAATACGTTATTACGTATAAAAGCATAATTAATTATATCAACGATACAGAGATAACATTCTTAATTATATTTTCATATATATATATATATATATATATATTCATTTGATAAAAAATCATTATTAACAAAATTCAACCATTTATATTATAAGCTGTTGGAGAATAAACCTTTTTTTTTTCTCTTTTGTTTGTTTGTTTGTTTTTTTTTTAATTGATATAATATCAAAATAATATAAAATATAAATGTAATACTAAGTATTGATATACATTTATTTATAAATATTATTAAATATTTTTTGAAACGATTTAATATTGTTCCTTGGCTCTCGATTGTTCATTTAATAAATCTACAGGTATATAATACTTATACTAATTTAAATCAGTCAATTAACTTCTTGTAATGTCAATTCTCGATCGGGAAAAACTAAAAAGTCCTGTGTTATCTCTGGAATCTCGTAATCATTAGTACCTCGTGAAACTACGGTTCGAATTTCTTTTGATGCTGCATTTATTAAAGCTTTGTAAATTGGTATTGGAACACGAATTCCAATTCCTTTCTTTGAATCGTAATACGGAGAATAAGTTGAAGTTCCATAATAACTTCGTTTTCTTCCACATCCTATAAAATGTTAGAAATAAATCATTATATTTATTGATGTATTTAGTGTTTATATCAAAAAAAAAAAAAAAAAAGAAATTATTAAAGTATTATATTGAATTGAATTTGATTAATGAAAGTTATTCTTACCGCTAAATGCATTGCAAAATGGTCTCTTCATTTTATACATTTTATCAGTTGTAAATGGGTTCGAAATATCGCGCTGAAATCGATCAAAACAATTTGTTTTTTTTTTTTTTT